TAATTTTGTTTTAACCGATTTTTCGATACAAAAGCCTACTAACAAATTTGGTTGTGGGTGTGGGTGTGGGTGTGGGTGTGGGTGGGTGTGGGTGTGGGTGTGGGTGTGGGTGGGTGTGGGTGTGAGTGTGAATGTGGATGTGTGTTGTTCTCATGTGAACCCGCACCCACACTCAAACCCACACCCACACCCACAGCCACACCCACATCCACAACGCCACCCACACCCACACCCCACACCTACACCCACACCCACCCATGGTAGGGACAAGTATTGGATTAATGACCAAAAGTGAGCTATTTTGTTAGTAGGCTTTTGTATCGAAAATTCGATTAATACACCATGAAAATAGAATCAAAATGTTAGTTTCAAAATGTTTTTTCGATTGATATATAATTCAATAGAATCGGCTGCGAAAAGTCCGGTGGGCCAATTTACCGTCTTATGCGCCTCCATTCTTTGGTTGATCCTCACATTGGTTCTAGGGAATTTAGGTACAGTTTTCAACGTTCAATACAATTCTACTATTGTAAACGATCTATTATTTTCGTGACTACTGGACATGGTTCAATGGGAAAACCAAAGACTTCGAGATAAAGTAAAAACATCTCTAAAACATGAAAATGACAGATCATTTAACACGGGCACAATTGTGCTGAACGTGGAGAACTATCTCTAAATTCACCCTTAGACAATGTGAGGATCAGCAAAATTAGCAAATTTCAATACTCGTTAGGGATTACGAGATTAGGTTGGTGTGACTTCAAAAGCAATTCAGCATCTGAATTTGTTTTGTTATAAGTATCTAATTTCTTTTAATGATGGCATTCTTTTGCTTCCCATTCGAGTAGATGTGAAAAGTTTGAAAAATCCAAAGGGTAGGCCGAAAAGCTGAGATAAAAGTTTCTTTTAGTGACACTTTCTTATGATCCATGGAAAAGAGTAAATCACCATTCTTCTCCTAGGTTAGAGTTTTTATAGTACATCGATCAAATGTTTTCCAAAAATAGTTCACGAGTGCAGTACACACAATAGAAAGGAGTGAATAAAAAATACACACAAGATATATTATTTTCCGTTCTTTATTTAATGCGTAGTAATATATCGACAAGAAAAAAACCCTGGCGATATAAAATTAATAATATATTGCCTGACAGACTGCGAAATTGATGCATACATTCATCTGATTTATTAATGGTAATAATCAAACTATGGGCAACCGAAAATCCCGACCGAAACGTACTCAGCCGCTTGGCAAAGTTTCTCGACTACAAAGCACTCCACTGTCCACGCAAGTTAAGTCAACTAGTACTCTTAAAAGTTCACGTAACTTTGATCGTTGTCCAGAAAAACCAAATGAATTTGCACATAATTTAACTACTCCATCACCGACGAGAACACTCAGTGAATCAGTAATACTTGTCTGGCTTGATTCACGTATAGATGACGCTGTTGCTGATACGCGTCTCACAAAACATATGCTTGGGACCTTGATTGCTAATGGTTCTCTTCATTCATTCACGAATACAACCGATTGTCTCGAGTTTATAACGCAACGGCAAGATACAATCGAGACAATATTTTTAATTATGTCTGGGGAGTGTTCGCGCGAATTGTTCAATAAACTTGATTATCGCATATGCAATATAATCGCTTCAATGTTCATCTTTTGCTTAGACAAGCATAGATACGAGTCGATATTGAATGGCCATAAGAAACTAGTTGGAATTTACACGGAGCAATGGAGATATTCACAATCATGTAGTCAGACTGAAACAGGGTCCAAAATGAACACATCTGATTGTATCAAAGACGATGATTCTTTAGGTTGTCCGTCATAATGTCGAAAGGAAAAATGTTGAAAAAATAATATTGACATGAAACATTGTCGGTTAATATTTTAGAGAATTGTAAATAATATAGTGCATATTTTTTTGCATAAAATTAAGTTGAAATCTTAACAGTGAGAAAAATATAAAAATAAATAAAAAACGAAAATGTTATTTTTTCACGAACTTCATGAACCTCAAGTGTTTCTTTCTCTCGAAGATGATTATCATTGTCAACAGTTTTCATCAATCGATTATTTGAATCAGTATGCACTTTAGCTGCACTACCATTAATAGTGCATATCCAATATTTAGTAGTTGTTGTTGCTATATTCAATTTAAAAGTATAATCATCGACAACTATTATAGTAGAGGTATTCCTTTATTTGAATTTATAAATCAAATAGCAGGTGATTTTACTTGAATTTCACCAGCTAAAGTTACGGAAGCTTCAGCCATGACATTACAATTTTAGTTATTTAACAATTCTTTGTTTAACTCTTTCATTTTACTTGTATTGATAGTTAGTCGTTCCTATAAATACTGGCTAAAATTCTGCACTCGTAAAATTATAAGAAAAAACAATGAACTAAATGGGATTAGAATCGTCTTATACTGGAGACAGCAGTATTTTTTTATTTTTTCTTTCGACATTTTTCCAGTACACCATTCTTCACGTTCTCATACTCATTGTTGACACGACTCATTGTGTTTGGAAGTAACCTTTTTTTTTATGTAAGTTTTTTATGGAAATTTCCACAGAAAAGGCAGCAAAAGAAGAACAAGCTATCAATACTTAGTGAATGGAAATGTTTAGAAATAATATACCATAAGAATTGTGAGACGCGACTGCTAACGTGTCGAATTACATACCGAGTTAATGAATTACCCCATCT